TATTTTTGTGCTTTTGGAAAATACTTTACTTATTAAATTGTCTCGACTCTTTGGTAAAAAATCTAAAATTATCAAAAATTCAAAAATCCGATTTTTCTTAAAATTCAACATTTTTTCCTCTCTTTTATGAGATTTAGCTTCATTATTTTTGTGCTTTTGGAAAATACTTTACTTATTTAATAGTCTCGACTCTTTGGTAAAAAATCTAAAATTATCAAAAATTCGAAAAAATTCAAAAATCTGAATTTCTTAAAATTTAACATTTTTTCTTCTCTTTTATGCCATTTAGCTTTATTATTATTTGAATTTTTATTCAAGAGAAAAAATGGAAAACTGAAAAAATTTAGAAACTTTTAAAAATTCCAGGCCTTTTCCATGATTTCCCTGATTTCCAGAAGCCTTTTAAAAATTCCATACCATTTCCATGATTTCCATGATTTCCAGATTCTGTAGGAACCCTGCTTTTGTCTGACTTTCTTCTAAATTATCGAATTCAGTGATTTCTGGGGTGAATTTGGTTAAGTTGTAAAATGATTAATTTCTATTTGAATTCGTTTTTTTGAATGTAGAAAGTCTGATGTTAATTTAATTCTTTTTTCGTTATGCCCGGCAAAAAATATTTAGCTGGATGAACTACAGATTTCACTTTAGTAGCGAAATTTTTCAGTGCTTCAATTAATACTTTCGTTCTTCTAGAGAAACTTATCGCTATTTCAAGTAAAACTTTTTTTAGTGTGTAATAATTATTATTTCTTTAAAAAGTATTTAATTTAAAATGGCTTTATAAAATAAGCAATGCAAAAGATGACCCAGATACTAATTGTAATTGTTCTAGCCATAGTTTAAGTCTAGTAATGTAAATTCTATTTAAATTGAGACCATTGAAATTATTTGAATTTTAGTTAGTTAAATCTCTTTGTTAGGTTATAATAATTATTTCTTTAAAATTTTTTAAATTGTATAAAATAAGCAGCCCCATACAACATTCCCGCGCGCTTGCGCGCGGATAGTTTGGCTAGTATTTATAATAATAATCGATGTATTCCGGTAATGTGTTCGCAGTTTGAAGTTAGTTATTGTTTGCTTTTTTGTTTCCTAACTTTTTTCATAATTTTTTTTTTCAAATATTTTCAATTTTAAAATTAATGTATTAAAAATCATTGAATTCTTGCAAAGAATTTTGTCATAAAATTTGAAAATAATTGGATTACTTCGCAGAATTTTATTATTTATGAAAATAATCGATTTCTCGAGAAGAATTTCTTTGAATTTTTTTTTTAAGGATTGTCACCGGCAATATAAGGAAATGAGAGAAAATTATAAAAATTTGACAGTTTAATCTTTATATTATTTTAGAAACATATGATTTTTTTCATAATTTTTTACCACGTAGTTTTTTCTTAAAAAAATAAAATAAATTTGCAATTTAACATAGGCTCTTATGGGAGCTCAGATAAATCTTAGAAAAAAAGTGTGAAGGAAATGAGAGAAAAATCTGTGGTTTTGTATATGGATAGACAATGTCAAAAAGTTTAAACTGGAAGATTTTAGAAAAAGTTTACCACAGATTTAATGAATAAATAATTATTAAAGTTTTAGTTTTCAGAACAGTAATAATTGTATAAGTATCAAACACAAAAACACATGAAAATGTGGCAACATCGCAACAACACACAACCTCAAAAAAATACAAATTTGATCTGTACATTTGAAATTAATAATATTCCTTAAACATAAGTTAATAACTTTCATGTTTCTTTTGCATCATAATTATATTTTACATTTGTTTATTGTAATTTTCGTGTTCTCAAGGTTCTCAACACTAAAAAATTTGAGGTTAACCTTTGACAATATACTATATTCCAGTCGTACCAACCATATGTCGACTATGTTGTGTAATGGTTTTTAGCACTTTTTCAAAAGATTAATTAAATACATTTTTTAATGTTTTAGTCTTGAAAAAATTTTATCATTAATTTTTACATCTTTTTTGAATGTTTTTTTCTTAAAATAAAATAAATATTTAGGATTTTTGATTAAAATTATGAAACTGAAATTTTTTTTTGAGGTTGCAAACATGCAAGATTTTACATGGGAGTAATGGGAACAATCCCTTTGCCCCTCACCACAGCTGTGACAATCCTTAAATAATGGAGTTTCTCTAATAATTTTAATTGAAAATTGTGAAAGAAATTTAATTTTATGAACAATTTCGTTCAAGTTTTTAAAATAATCGTGTTTCTTAATAATTGAAATTAAACATTTAATTATTGAATTTTATGAAAATTTTTCTAAAATAATTAAATTCTTCTCAGAATTTTATTACAATTTTCTAAAATAATTTAATTCATTCAAGGAATTTTATTAAAATATAGAAAGTAATTAAATTCTTTTGAAGAATTTCTTTGTACTTTTTTAAATAACTTAGTTTTTTTGAATAATTTCAATTGAAAATTTTGAAAATAATTGAATTGAACAAAGAATTTTTTCAACATATTAAAATAATTTTCAAAATAATTTTTGCCATGAATTTTACTTCGAAAGAATTTCTTGATAATAATTTATTGCAAATTTTTGAAAATGATTGAAATTCTGTAAAGAATTCAATTATTTATGGAAAAAAATTGAATTCTTGACAAGAATTTGTTTCAAATTTTTGAAAATAATTGAAATCCTCCGAAGAATTTTATTATTAATGAAAATAATTGAAATATTCCAAAGAATTTTATTTTTTATGATGATATTTGAATTCTTGCGAAGAATTTTATTAAAATTTTTGAAAATAATTAAAATCCTCCGAAGAATTATTTTATTTAGGAAAATAATTGAAATCTTCCAAAGAATTTTACTTTTTATGAATAAGATAATTGAATTTTTAGGAAAAATATTATTAAAATTTTTTAACACAATTGAAATCCTTTGAAAAATTTTATTATTTATTTATTTATTTATTTATTTAACATTGGTCCCGCAGTCCCTATAGACCATACATGGGTAACTAGATTAAAGAATATAAAATATTATGTACTTAAAGTGATTTTTTAAAATTTTAATTGTGAAATTATTCAAAAATTTTAAGTTTGAAATAAAAAATTTTATAATTTGCATAATAATAATTTTTTAATAAAATGGAATTTTTGATATTCTTCAATTCTATTGTTTTAAGATAATTGAATTTCTATAAAAAAATAATTGAAAATTTTTGAAACAATTGAAATTTCTTTACATTCTATTAAAAATAATTAAATTCTTATAAATAATTTTATTTAAATTTTTCGAAAATAATCAAGGAAAGTTTGTCACCGTAATTATAATTTTATTTTTACAATATAAAGTCCCTCTTAAAGTTTTAAATCAATTTCTGGCTTTTAAAAGTTATATTATTTTATTATTATTCAATAATTATAATTATTGAACTTCTCTTAAATTTATATTTTTTTAAGTTTCTGAATGTTCAATTAATTTATATTTATTTATTTATTTCTTGAGTAAATTAAATTTTTATTGCTTATTAAGTACATAATTAATTATTACTGCTTATTATTAAAAAAAATTATAATAAAATTCTTCCCAAGAATACAATTATTTTTTTAAATAATAACATTCTTTGGGAGGATTCAATTACTTTTAGAAATAGTAAAATTCTTTGCAGAAATTCAATTAGTAATTATTTAATAATTATTATTATTAGTAATTATTTATTCAATTAGCAATACATTTTAATAAAATAAAATTAATCAAATTTTCAATTATAATTATGAACAGACAAGATTATTTTAAAAAATTGAAAGAATTTAATTCAATTATTTTCTAAATTTTTAATTAAAATTATTAAAAAAAAAACATTATTTTCAAAAAATTTAAAGAAACTCGTCAAAAAAATTTAATTATTCATAAAAACTCTAATTCAAATTTTTGAATCCATTGTAGATTTATTTATATTCGAAATCAAATAAATTTAAATTTGATGCTAGAAAAAAAAACCGGAAAAAATTAGAACAAAGCCGGGAATTTTGTTGAACGAAAATAGTAAAAAACTCAAGTGAAAAGTACTCGAGCAAAGTGAAATAGAAAAAAAAATTTCAATTAAAAAATTTTACGTGCAAAAATATTCCCCGAGAGTTGATTTTCAAACTTTTAAACACATTTACAATAAATTGGAAATGATATAGTTTAATGTTTAATAAAAGTGGAAGTTTTAATTCAGAAAAAGGAGTAGAAAAAAAAAGTTTTAAAACAAACGCCAAAAAGCAGAGTTTATTAAAAGAAAAGCTAGTGAAAATAAGTTGGAAAATAAATTATGTATTAACGTTTATGTAATGTATTTGTATATGTATACCTATGTGTCTTGCCTGACAAAAGGAGTTGGTCCTCAGAAGTTACTAACTTTAGCGCAGACGCTTTAAAGCTGCAAGCTTCAACTTACATATAGAATATCTGGCTTTTCTGTGTTCAGAGCGCGGTATTATACTTCAGTGCGGCTCGCACAGCCGGCTAATGTTCGTCGGTTCATTATTCTCGCTGTGCTTTTTAAGATACGTAAACAGCACGAAAGTTTTTTTTTTTTTTTTTTAATAAATGACAGTTGAAAAAAAATTGTTTTTCGAATGATATTTGTTTATAATAAATAATAATTATTACACTGTTAACACAAAATTTGTTTTTCATTTTTAAGTGAAAGTTTCTTCGAAAGAAAAAAAAAATGAAAACAAAATGTGATTGACGAGGTAATGGGAATTTATAAATAGCGTTAGAGTATTAAAATTTAAAACTCATTTGAACTTGAATTAAACAAAATTTTTTTTTTATTTTTCTTTTTTATGATTTTTTCCGTGCTTTATATTAATCATTAAAGACATCTTCTGTTTGTGTTAAAAATGTTACTTTTAAATTTTTCTTTAATTTAATTAATAAATTATTTATTTTTTTAATTAATAAATTAGTCCGAACTTTAAATACATCAATTTTCCTTTTTTTTTTTTGCTTTATAGGATAAACGTAGGAAAATCTAAACATAATTCACCGGACAAAATCAATTTCGGAAACTTATGATGATCCAGAAACGTGAAAATTGGCAAATTGTTATTGAATCGAGTAACGTGATAATAAAGTTTGATTACTTGGGAAACACATTAAAATACATGATCTATTAATTTTGATAAAAGGAAAAAGTCGTTTAAAAATCCCAATGAATTTCATTCATAATAATAATATCTAAAAAGGGAAAATAAATTTAAAAGTAAAAATAGAGAAATAATATATAGATTATTAATTTTTTGATAAAGATGTTCACTCCATTTCTATATTTTTTTTTTTTAATATTATTGATGGAAACAATGAAATTCATTGCGATTTTTAATAGATTTTTTTTAAATAGATTATTAATTTCTTTATTTTTAATATTAATTAATTAAATGAGTTTTAATTAATTCAAAAATAAATTTAAAAGTAAAAATAGAGAAATAAAGTGAACTTCTTTTTTAAAATATTAATAATCTTTAGGTATAGATTATTAATTTTAAAAAAAAAAAAGTTCACTTTATTTCTCTATTTTTACTTATTTGGAAATTTAATTTTGTCTTTTTAAATACTATTGACGAATGAAATTCATTGCAATACTGAAGAAAGGAATTCAAATTTTTTAAAAAGTTCATTTTGGTGGAAACGCACATTCATGACAAATGACAAGAGCTTATTTCAAAAATGTAAAAGGTAGAAGCATTTTGTACTTTACGATTCTCTATTTTGTTTTTTATTTCGCTTTTTTGTTCTTTCATTTTTTATTTTCCCTTTAATTAGCAAAATAAGAACAATTTTCCATTGTCACCTTTTAAAGAACAATACACGTACTTTTTTCTTACTTTATTTTAAAGAAAATTTTTCTATGAAATTTTTATTTTTGAATGCTTTTTTTTAGAATTTATTTATATTTTATAAATTTATTTCCATTTCGGGTATGTTTGCAAATAATCTGAAAAGTTTCAGACAAGTTTTTAATTTATTTATCACCTTCTGGAAACTTGTCAACGGGAATAACATTTGCTCAACATTATATTATTATGTATGTTCCTAAAGTTTTGAACGAAATTATTTTGTTTCCATTTAAATATTTCCATAAAAACTTTTTTTCACCAATAAAAAAGTAAATTCACTTATATCTACTTTTTTTTAAAAAATTTTTTGCTTTGAAAAACATTTTTTATATTTAGAATTCAGTTATTAATTTATATTTAGAAAGAGATCAAATGGAAATTTTGTCCCATTTAACATTTCAAATTGCAAAGTGCATTATATTATGTAATTTAAAAAGGGGAAGAAATACATTGAGAAATTTATACGATTCAAATTATTCGAAATTATAAAAAAAAATTATTATTTAAAGTTAGTTTTCATGATAACAATACTATATTATTCTGTCGGAAAATGCTATTGTGATACTTTTTGCATTGAAATTTAAAACATATATACAGTGTGGAGAAAAATGGAAATCCAATTTATTGTAGTAGAAAGTGATTGTGACCAGTATGTGGTTTCAGAGTAAAAGGAACAGATATTTTAAAAAATTGAATTCCATTGTTCTCTCACGCTGTTGTTAGAGTGCGAGCAATTTATTCATTTGTTTTTTTAGACCACAGTAAAAAAAAAGGAAAAGAATGGAAGAGACAAAAAATAGTAGGTATATAGAGAAAAAAACGTGTCCAAAATTCGTTTATCGTACTTTTTAATTGCAAGCACTTTCGTTCAAGTGGGGAAAAAAATCATATTTCTTTGCAAACTTTAACGAAAAAAATATGTTAATGATTTAAAACTTCACATACAAACTTTTTATATCGTATTAAAAATCAAATAAAATTTTTTAAAAAAAAGAATTTTATTTTTTTATTTTTTAAAGAAAGTTAAAAATTTTAATATGCAATTTAGATGCCACTAATTTTTTTATATCTTTATTAGTTTCTTAACTAGCAACAATTCGCGTGCGGCAAACTTTTTACTCACTTTTTTAAAAAAAATTTTAAATAAAATTAGTAATTTTAAAAATAATACAACTTAAATTTTAAATAAAATTAGCGATTTTAAAAATAATAAAGAAAAATTTTAAATAAAATCAACAATTTTAAAAACAATACAACGTAAAAATTTTTAATTCAAATTTATTTTTATAAAAATAAAATATGAATTGGAATATAGTTTTAATTTCGAAAATTTTCCTCATTTCAATAGTTTTCAATATCTCTATACTATTTTAATAAAACTACCCAAAAGAAATCAAATATTTAAACAAAAATTTTAATAAAATTGTACGCAAACAGAATTCAATTATTTTCATAAATAATAAAAATTTCACAGGAATTCAATTATTTACAAATTTTTTTTTGTAAGTTTCTTCTCAATAATTCAATTATTTTCATAAATAATAAAACTCATCTCAAAGAATTTTATCAAAAAATTTGAGAATATTTGAACTCCTTCGAACAATTATTTTGTTATTTAGGAAAATGATTGAATTCTCGCGAAGAATTTTGTTAAAATTTTTGAAAATTCTAATTAAATTCCTTTCGAAGAATTTCTTTGAATTTTTTTTTAAATAATAGTTTCTTTAATAATTTTAATTAAAAATTTTGAAAATAATTGAATTATTATGAACAATTTGTTTCAAATTTTTTAAATAATCGTGTTTATTGAAAATTGAAATTAAACATTTAATTATTGAATTTTTTATTAAAATTTTAGGTAGTAATATATTGAATTCATTTGAAAAATTTTATAACGAATTAAGAAAAAAATTCAGTTCTTTCGTAGAATTTTTTTTGAACATAATTAAATTTTTGCAAAGAATGTTACTATTTATAAAAATATAATTTAATTTTTTCTAAAAATATTAAAATTTTTTTTAAAATTAAATTCTTTTCTGAAATTTTACAAAGATTTTTACTATTTAAGTAATTAAAAAAATAATTAAATTGTTTCGAAGGATTTATTAAAATTCTAAAAATTAATTGTATTCGTTTGTGAAATTTTATATATTTTTACAAAAAAATTTACTATTTTTATAAAAATAATTAAAATTCTTACGAAGAATGTTATTATTTATGAAAATAATTTAATTATTTTCATTATTTTTAAAAAACTTCGAATTTTATTAAAACAATATTGTAATTAAGAAATAGGTATGAAAATTGAAAATTTTCTACAAAAATATTAAGAAACGGGAATATCTAATGTTTTTTTTTCCCAAAATAAAAGAATGAGTTTGTGAACAATATTTTGTTATTGAGAAATAAAAATTATACATAAAATGGGTATTTATTTACTATTTCTTTTAATCATAATTTTTTAACAAATTTTCTATTTTTTATAAACTAAAAATTATTTTTCATTTGTTAATCATCATGTTTTTAAATTTTCTAATTTCTAATATTATTTTATTATGAATCATGAAAAAATACCTGCATATTTTCGATTTGTCGAACAATATTTTTTAAAGAAAAAAAAAAACAAAAGCATACACAAAAACTGACTTCAAACTGCATAGAGAATGAATTAAAGAATACGAAGATTAATTACTTTCTTAATTCTTAATTTTTAATGTAACATTTTTGAAATTTTTTTTAACTTTTAACTGCTTTAGAAAATATTTGACTAAACAAAATTGCCAACGATTAACATTTATTTTTATTTCCTTTTTTTTTGAAGAAAAAAGCAAAATGTTTTTTAAAGAAACATAGAAAAAAGGAAATTTTAAAAGTTTAATAAATTATTTAAGAATAATGAATGCGTGTGAGAGGCAATCGATATCAAAGTCACGAAGAGAAAAACTGTTAGTTTAGCCATAAAAATAATGGGTTGAAAACATTGAAAATTAATATTATACACGGAAAAGATTTATTCCTTTTATTTTACCGAATTAAATGAATTTTTCTATAAAGTTGAGATATAGTGGCATAATATCTATTAACTATATAGATATGGCTAGTACTATAACAGTTTGAAAACAGTTCAAACTGAACGTTTAATATGAATTAAACAGAAATTAACGTTTATTTCGAACACCTCCTTCCTGAGCATTAGTATTTTAGGAATAGTTCGGTAAAACTTCCTTGACTTGCCTGACGTGTTGGTTTTCAGGATAAATCAATATTTTCTTAAAGAGCTATGAGGTTGTAGAAGATCTCTCCAAAATATAAATAAAATCGAATTTATATGCTATTCACCGAAGGGGATTTAATTTTGCCCTCTAGTTGCTCTTCATTCCTCTGACCTGTTGAATAATAATATTCAATATATTTTTAATGTAGGGGGAGATATTTATTAAGCATCCTACCGATTAACTCAATCAACACCTATATTGGGAATTTCTGATATAATTTTTTGTCAAATAACATTATTTACAGTAAAAATAAATGTATATTTAAATTGAGATTCAATTAGCGATTCACAACCTGAGTCGTCATTCCTCTGAACCAAATTAAAAACAAAGCATTAATAGATATAAATTATTTAAAATTTGTTTACTATAAAAGTCATCTACGAACATGATAAGGCATTTTAAGTTTGCAGAAAATCGATTGCTATTTGGCTTTTTCATATATGGTGGCTCCTTTTAGGTTCCAATTTTTGAAATACTATATTTTTTCCAGAGTGTCAGTGAAAAATAAACCTAGGTATACATTTTTTTGGTGAAATTTAAATTAAAAAACTAATTAAAATTATTTTTTATTAATTTTCTCCATATTTGTTAATTTTGAAAAGTTTTATTTTTGTAAATCGAAAAAACTTACTTCCTTTTATTAATTTTTTAATTTGAATGATACAGAGTTGTCTTATTATATTTTGAAAAAACACCTGCTACAACTTTTAATGCTTTAGAACTTAAGAAATTAAAGTTTTCTTTTTTTTCCAACTATAATAAAAATGAATCTTTCTGGAGAATCACCCTTATACTTAATTATTAATTAAATTAAAACATTTTAAACACTTATTAATTATTAAATATGTAATAAATGTTTTTAAATCATACAAAAGAACATATAAAATAGTAATAACATACTTAGTTTTTTTGGCTTGGGATACAATTTTTCTAAAATGTATTTTCTAATTTTTTATTTTCTAAAACTTTTTTTTTCTAATAAAGATTAATTTCTAAAAATCTTTTTTCTAATGAAGGTGATTTTCCAATTTTCTATCTTTTAATAAAGGTAATTTTCTAAAAATTTCTTTTTCTAATAAAGATAATTTTCAAATTTTTTTTTTCTAACAATATTCAACTTTTGTAATGACGATCAATTTGGTATATGATTAAAAATAAAATTTATGAAAATTTTTTAATTCTTTAAAACAATACTTGAGATTTTGTTAAAAAATTGTAAAAAGAAAATAGAAATTATGCAAATTTGTTAACAAAATTTTTAAATAATCCAGTTAAAAATCGTAATTAACAAATATAAGTTATTTTGGAAATTTTGGTATGAAAATAATGCAAATTATTATTTCTTTTTTTCAAAGAAGAGTAGAATTTTGTTAAAAATTTGTGATAAAAATAGGAATTTTATAAAAAAATTTTCCGCTTTTTCAAAAAGAAACTCATAATTTTGTAAACAAAATTGTGATTGAAAGACAGAAAATAAGCAAAATAGTTTCTATTTTCTAATCTTAATTTTTTAACAATTTTCTAACTTTTATCAAAATTATGGAATTTTGATTTCATGAAAATTTTATGATTACAATAAATATTAGAAATCATAACTTTTTAGAAAATTTTTTTTTTAAAAACAGGTTTCATTAGAAATCGCTTTTTTTAGACAAAAAGGATAAGATAATATTTTTTAGAAAAAGTAACTACCTACCATTTTTTGAATATAATTTATTCAATTAAATGTGAATAGTATATTATCTAATATTTCAGAAAAATTAGCTTTCTATTAATTCATTTAATATCCTCAAATATTATTTAAAATTTTTTTAAATTTTAACTTAAAAATTTGAAATAAGAATTTCAGTATAAATTATAATTCTTTTATTATATTTTATTAGAATATCTATCCTTTGTAATAATAAAAACATAATTTGAAAACAGTTTATAAATTGATCTTAAATATATATTTAGAAATCATTCATTAATATAAATATCACTTTTTGTTTTGTACAACAATAGTTTATTATTTGAATCTTTCTCACAAGTGGTGAAAAAAAATTCAAATTAATATGTATAATTTGTATGTTTTTAAATAACTTTTTTCCTTATAGAAATTTTTAATTAATTCTTGTCAAAATTATATTTCTGGCACGAAAACGAATCGATTGATGTTTATATAAAGCATACTTGAAGCGTGTTCTTCTAAAATTTCTGTTTTGGCCTTTCATTCCAATTTTACCAAACTGAATTCAGTAAAATATCAGGAATAAATTTTCTCCGTGTACATTTTTATTATTAAAAAATCCATCTTTAAATTTTTAAAGTTTTTGATATATTCTGTTTTTTGTTACATTTTTGAATTTTATTTCATTTTTTAATTATTATACATACACAATGGACAAAATGTTATATTCTATTAAAAATCGTTATTTTAAATTAAATATAATAAGAAGAAAGAAATAGCGAAATATGAAAATAAAAACTACATTTAATAGACATTAAATAATAATTGAATTATCTCCTCCAGTTCATTAGTTGTTAATTAGCGATTTTTAAAGCTTGTTAAATTAAACGTGTTCATGATCCGAGTTTGCCGATAAATTTTGATTCATAAAATGAATATTAAGGAATACAATGCAATTGATTATTATTTCAATAATTGCCAGCACAAAAATATGTGATAAATGAAGATCAAATTGTATTATCAAATAATTTTATTTGTGAAAGAATTTTAAAAATAAAATTGAATAAAATTATTGGAAAACAAAAATAAATCACTAAATAATTAATGTTAATTGAAAGCTTTCATATAAATTTCCTCTTAATTTATGAAATTTAATGCTGACATTTATTTTTTGCGAAAATTCCTGAATTATCTATATAATTAAATAAAAAAAGAGGAGGTGTGAAATATTCTAATTATTGAAATTGATCATTTTACGTTTTTTTTTTTTCAGCTGGAAAATGATTCACGACTGAATACATACATAACATATGGAGATTTGTATAAAAGTTGAACGAAAAGGGCTCACAATGGATGAAAAACAGAAGTGGAATTAAAAGCTCACAGCTTCTGAATGGGATTAGTTGTCTCTTGAAGCGAATTCAGCCGTTGAAATGTGGGTTTCCGCAAGTACAAGAGAAAATGTGGAAATTAAGCTACTGGGAGCAAGTAAGATTGAAAGACAAGGAAATAGGTACCACTTTCGAAAAGCTCGCACTTTATCGTGAAGAGCTATTAGGAAAATGGGTGCAAAGCAATCCGCAAGAAACCTACCAACTACTGGAGAGGAAGGTAAGAAGTTGCAATCTTCTTCTATTTTTGTTCTTTTAATCTTTCGTAATAAAAAAGAACATTCTTTTTTTACAATTTTATTCGATAGAATTCAAATCGCTTTTATAATGAAAATATAATTTTCTAAATAGTAAAAGAAAAAAAATTATCTACAACTTTTAAAGTACGAAATTTCATGGAGAAAATAAATTCATCTGGTTGAATGGAATTTCATTAACACTCCACAAATATTTTACTTTTTATTCTTCTTTTCACGCTTTTTACCCTAAAACTATACTTTTTTTTCCTAAACATTTAATGAAAAACTTTTATATGTATAATTTTTTTTTAATTTATGTGAAAGCAAATTTTTCATCAAAGAAATAATTGTACAGTCATTTTTAGGGTTCCTTATACACTTGGTGTACCGTACGGAACCCTATTAGTTACGCTTGTTAACGAAATTACAATTCTTGCTCTAAAAAACAAACTATTTGACGACCGATTGTGTTCAAATTTAGTAGAAATATGTATCTTTCTCGGTAGAATTTAGACAAAATGTGCAAAACATGATTAGATTCGATTATCACAATTTTTTTTTTTTAAGATTTTTGTACTAAAAATGCTGTTTTCGTTCTCTCCAAACTCAGCATTTTAAACGGATTTTTCTGAAACTTTGTATAAATAAGGTAAATTGATTGATTAACCCTTTTGTCACTGATGTCTATAGGCGTCATTTATAGATTCGCTTGAAATTGGTTACTTGAGGTTTTTCAGGGTCACTATAGTTACCAATCTAGTGTTATTTTTTCAAAATTTAAAATGGTTCGAGTAATAAATTTAAAGCAAATTTGTTCAATATTTCAGAAATCTTCATTTTTTTCCTGACACGCAGGAAGTCGAGCTCAACTCGATGTATAGAGTACTCGAATTTTTTCAAGTTCTGAGTGAATTCGAGTACTCGAGTATTTTTTCGAGTGAAATCGAGTACTCGAGAAGATTCGAGTTTTCAAATTATTAATAAATTATTAATAACAGGAAAATTATGAAATTTATTCTATGTTTCGAATAAATTAAATAACTTTTCAATTTCGAATAAATTAAATAACTTTTCAATTTCGAATTTTATTTCAATTTACTAATTATAACATATATGTGCGGCGAATATTCGAATTCACTTGAGTGCTCGAAGTTGTTCGAGGTTTTTATACAGCTTACGAACTCGCCTCGAGCTTGAACTGATTAAACTCGACTCGGCTAGAAAAAAAAGCTCGAAAAAATTTGATCGAGTTTCGAGCTTTTTGCACACCTCTACTATTTAATATAAATACCTACATTGAAATCAAATGAATTTGATAATTTATTTATTTATAATAAAGTAGAAAATCAATAGAACCTGTCACGTGCAGTGGTTCGAAAACGTAAAAAAATTTAGTGCACCACTTATTTATAGTCAATGAAAAAATTGGAAATATATTTTTTAATTTTTTTCAGTGAACATTTTATTTTTCTCAAACTTTTTTTAGTGTTTCTAACTAAAATTCTTTTATAAATTCATTATTTTTAATAATTAATTAAATATTTATTATTTTAACTAATTTCAGAAGAATTTGAATTGATAAAATTTTTCAAAATTCTAACTTCTTTAAAATTTCTAATTAAATTCATTCAGAATTGAAATTTTATTAAATTAAAACCTTTTGAAGTTCATTATATCTATTTACAGGCCTTGGATTTTATGACTTTTTCGACTTTTTTCGACTATTATCTAAAATGTCAACTTTATTCGACTTATTTTTAAAAACTACGACTTTTTCTACTTTTTTGCCAAAGATTGCAAAAAAATGCCTTAGAATTTTTTAATTTTAATATTTTAAAATTTAATATTTTTAATTACTCATATATATCGGAATATTTAAATACATATAGGTACAAAAAATAGTACAAATATAAAAATTTTATAGGATTATTTTTAACATTTTGGAGAAAAGAATCATGTTTAAAATTTTTAATTAAAATTCTTCAGAAATTTGATTGTTTTTTTATATTTTTCAAAAATTCGATTATTTTTAAAAAATTTTATCAAATTTTAATTATTTTAAAAACATTTTACCAAATTTCAATTATTTTTAAAAAATTTTACTGAATTTCAATTATTTTAAAAAGATTCTATCAAGCTTCAATTAATTTTTTGAAAGACTTTATAAAATTTCAATTATTTTAAAAAGATTTTAACAAATTTCAATTATTTTTAAAAAATTTTACTGAATTTCAATTATTTTAAAAAGATTCTATCAAGCTTCAATTAATTTTTTGAAAGACTTTATAAAATTTCAATTATTTTAAAAAGATTTTAACAAATTTCAATTATTTTAAAAAGATTTTAACAAATTTCAATTATTTTAAGAAGATTTTAACAAATTTCAATTATTTTTTAAAGATTTTACCAAATTTCAATTACTTTAAAAATATTTGATCAAATTTCAATTATTCTAAAAAGATTTGATCAAATTTCAATTATTTTAAAAACATTTTACCAAATTTCACATATTTTAAAAAAATTTTACTGAATTTCAATTATTTTAAAAAGATTCTATCAAGCTTCAATTATTTTTTCAAAGACTTTATAAAATTTCAATTATTTTAAAAAGATTTTAACAAATTTCAATTATTTTAAAAAGATTTTAACAAAATTCAATTATTTTAAGAAGATTTTAACAAATTTCAATTACTTTAAAAATATTTGATCAAATTTCAATCATTCTAAAAAGATTTGATCAAATTTCAATTATTAACATTTTACCAAATTTCAATTATTTTAAAAAGATTTTAACAAATTTCAATTATTTTAAAAAGATTTTAACAAATTTCAATTATTTTAAGAAGATTTTAACAAATTTCAATTACCTACTTTAAAAAGATTTGATCAAATTTCAATTATTGTTAGAAGATTTTATCAAAATTCAATTATTTTTAAAAGATTTTAACAAATTTCAATTATTATTTTAAAAAGATTTTAACAAATTTCAATTATTTTCAAAAGATTTTATCAAGCTTTAATTATTTTTTAAGATTTTACCAAATTTCAATAAATTAATTAATGAATTATTTGAAAATGTTTTAATTGTATATAATTGAATAATTAATTAATTTATTAAGTTATTTAAAAAGAAATTATTGTCAGAAATAGAAAAAATTGAAGATTTTGTATTAGGGAATTCGTGGTAATTTAATAATTTTTGAGGCAAACAAAAATTAGATACTTCAAGCGATTTCGATTGATTTTTTAAAAATAATCGACCATATTGGATCCGCCATTTTGAATTTTTAAAATCTGATGTTAAATTCGTAATCAGCGACCCCGAAATCCTGCGAGTAACAAATTTCAAACGATATTTTGATCAATTTCTGGAAAAAAAATTTAACCACCGGCGAAAGCCTAAGTATAAGCTGTACGTGAGTTTGGATCTTATCATTACATTATTTATGAATTATGAACATAATATGTCTAATAAAGTCGATCAAACCCCGGCAGTCTAAAGGTTAATTTTATGGAATTTTTAACGAAATATTTCATTTGGATTTTCCGATAAATATTGAGATTTCTGAAATTCAGAGGAGAAAATTGAGTGCCAGCTTAACTATTTAGAAGTTCGAAGGAACTATTTCAGTGTAAACTGTATATAAAAACCATTTAAATAATTATAACATTCTATTCACCTAATTAATAAAAAAATAAAAGGTGACATTTCTCCAGGAAATGATATCATGAAGCAGATAAGTTATTTGACTAGTAATTCTAGAGATGATATCAAATTACAAATATTTCCAATTAAATTTTTTTTTTTACTAAATTAATTGAATTAATTAAGTAAAAATAATTAGACAAATTCCTGAAGGATTTCCTTTCTAGACATTCAACATTTTTGGGATATTTTCCAATAATTAATAATTAATATTTAATAACAATTAAATTTAGAGTTAAAATAATTCCAAAACGAAATTATTTTCTCCATGTTTGTGTTTAAAAGCTTTTTTTTACTGCTAGATTTTATCATCAGTGAATAGAAAAGAGATTTAAATTCTTTACACACTATGCTTTTATTTTTAATTTACTTCAAAGCCTTGATGGGATTCTTGTTCCGGCAAGAAATTCTTTAAAGGAAACGAAATTGAGGCTTTAAACTTTAAATGGATTTCCAATATTAACAGTGTGCCTATAAAGAGTGTGGTTTAATGATTTTTTTTTAGAAAGTGATTGTTTGCCTTTTTCGTGTATAAAAATTCAAATTTGTCGTATTTCTGCTTTAGTAGCTGGTAAAAAAAATTTTTTTCCCTTTAATACTAAAGTACCGTGAGATTATCGTCAATTTTTACGATGCATCAATATAAAATGCTTATCGAAATTATTTTTCATGTCAATCGATAATAATAATAAATTACATCATTGTTATCGTTGCATTTAATTTTTTGGTATTGAGTGAATATTTGATTTACATTCCCTTTACATGAGAAAGTATTATTTTCTATTGTTTTCTTGAATTTAATGTTTTAATATAATAACTAATTTGACTTCAAGTTTTTTAAAAAATTGTTTTTTTTAATTGAAAAGTTACTATTTCTGTTTTTTTAGAATTTCCACTACTTTAAATTCGTGAATACAAGAAATCAAAAAACTATTCTCAAAAATTATAATCAAATTTTCAATATTTAGTATTTTTCATAAATAATAAAATTTCCACAGGAATTCAATTAATTTAGAATATCATTTTTAACAAAATTTCGAAAAAATCAATTTTAACAAAATTTTTACACTAATTCTTCACAATAATTCAATTACTTTCACTAATAATAACATTTTTCATGGAAAATAATTTAAAAAAAAAAATTTTCGATTAAATTCGAAGAAAGAATTCAATTATTTTCATAAATAATAAAATTCTTCTCTGGAATTCAATTATTTTTTAATTCTATTTTAAATTAAGAAAAATTCAATTATTTTCACAAATAAAGTTTTCCAC